CGGTGCCCCGGCGACTGTGCCACCCGCCGCAGTGCGGTCTCGCAGCCATCGCAGCGAGAGCGGCTCTGTGCCGGGAGCGGGACTGAAGGGAGGGTTGCCAGCGCAGGGACCCCCAAAAGCGTTGCCGCCCCATGGCTGACATGAAGGGTCAGCCCTGGATGCTCCCAGATCCTCTGGTGGCCTCCAGGCACCCACTCCATGAAACTCCTGCAGTGGGACGGACCCTCTCCCATCCTGAGCACAGGGCAATGCTGGAAGGGTTTCTGTGGGGCAGCGTAACGTGTCTGGGGGCTGGGAGGTAAACCCGCCCTTCCCCTCGTTTATCCCATTCCCCTTGTGCTGCCCTGCTCTTGGCAGCATGTTCCGTGCCCACCTGTGGCACAACATTGGGCAAACACGAGGTGTTTCTCAAAGGCCACAAGACAGGAGTCCCATTCCTGTCCAGCCCCAGAGCCAGCGGCAACCTCTGCCCTGTGCAGGTGCCTCAGCTTCTCCATGGATAGCATCCATGCCTTCCACTCCCCAGACACAGCGGGTCCCCCTGCCTCGTGGTGGAGTCCTTGGCACGGCCAAGGGGCAGGGAGCATGATCCCACTCACAGTGCTGCAGGAATTACTTACCTCACTGAGGAGTAGTCGCACAGACCTGTTGCCTGTGTCACGCATCCAGAACAGGGACACAACTGCCTTTTGCAGGACGTTCACTATTCCACAGCATTGTGGACTGGGTTTTGGTTCCTGGTGACATGTAGCACCCATCACAGACACAGGAGCCTGACAGGCCCTGAATGAAACCTCTGGAGCCTGTCCCGTGGACAGCCCTCCAGGAGGACACGCAGGTGTCCGGTATCTTCAGAGGTGCTAATACTTCTGCTGGTGCTTCTCTGATGCTGTGCTTGCACAAGCCTCTCAGAGCAGCACTGCAACCCTTAGCAAGGTACAGACGCAAGGACGGAGTCCCAAGCTCCCACTGCTGATCCTGCCTGCGTCCAGCTCCTCAGCCACGGCACATCCCCCATGGAGCAGACACCCCGTGTGGCAGTTTGCCACACTGTTTGCTGTGGTCTCCAGCATGTACAAAATGACTCTCCTGCACCATTTCCTGCTCACATTTGTCCCAGACTGTCTGGCTGCATCTGTGCTGGAGCATGAGACAGGGACAGGGAAGGTTCCCATGAGCAGGAACTATTTTGTCCAGTTATTACCTCTGTTTTTGGCCTGATCTGGGCCCTGACTAGCAGGCTCCCAACCACCCTCAGCACAGTTTGGGGCTGGCATTGGCCAGGAGCTCCTCCTGCTCAGCCAGCTGCACGTACAACATCCCAGAGGCTGAAGGAGTCGAGTCGTGTGGTCGTTCTGTTACACTTAGCCCCAGAGCCAGGAAAAGGCATCGCTTCTTTGGGCAGTGGTTATTTATGTGCAGGGCTATGGGCAGACCCTACATGTGGGGCCAGGACGCAACGCCAGCCCTTTTCTGCAGTCTTTGAACCCTTTAGCAAACTCCAGGACTTACAGAGTGTGGGATGGGGCTGACAGTTTATTCTCCTGCTCTGTGCCCCTTTCCCAAAGTGGGACTGTTTGACCATTGAGCTGGTGCCCCGTGCCCAGCTTGCATGTCTCTGCGTGGTTACGGCCCAGGGGACAGATCCCCAGGAGGGTTTGGTGGAAACGCAGCGCCCGCAAGCGCCCAGCACAGGGCTCAGGCCTCGCTGACCACGCGCCGTGCCGTGAGGTTGCCCAGCAGCTCCTTTCGCACGAGGCACTGACCCAACTGCAGCATGGCCACGTCCTTTGCATGTCCAGGGACTGCTTTGCAGCGCCCGCCTTCAAGCAAAATCCCCCCCAAACAGCCCAAAATCCACCGCAGCTAAACTAGAGCCAAACCAACCCCAAATTTAAAAGGCCTTCGAGTCCTCTTATAATCTAAAAAGGCTGAAACCTTGGAGAACAAGGTTCAAGCTTACTGTGGGAGCTGGGGAGGAGACAGGAGTCTCCTCCAGTGCACAGCAGCTGTGGGGCAGCTCCCTGGTCCTACACCCTCATCCTGCTGCATCCGGGGCCGCAGTCGGCGCAGCTGGCAGAGCCACCCGTGGCGCCCGTCTGCAGGGCGCGTGGAGGCAGGGCCAGGCGCTGGCACGGGCTGCCCCCCCGGGGGTTTTTGCGAGCGGAGCCGTGGGCGCGCGCGGGCCCCCAGCCCTCATCTGGGCTCGCTTGGCTAGCGGCGTCAGGGCTGGGAAAATGTCCCTGCGGGGGGATGTTTAAGGGAGCCCTTGGAAAGCAGCAGCGCCGCCGCGTTTCTCAGCTGGGATGTTCATTACAGCAGGGAGTTAAAAGCGCGGCAGCCACGGCTATTGTTTGTTCACTTCCTCTTGTTATTTCCCCTCTCCGCAGATGGGGAGATCACTTCCAAGCCAATGGTGCTATTCCTGGGACCGTGGAGCGTGGGCAAATCCTCCATGATAAACTACCTCCTAGGGCTGGACGACACTCCCTACCAGCTCTACACAGGTATCTCGCTCCCCTCCACGCTGCTCTGCCAAGGGCAGGTTGGCGCTGGCACCTCCGCAGCCACATGGCCAGCTGGTGACAGCAGCAATTCCTGGTTGCTCCTCTCCAACAGCCCAGCTATGACAGGGAGATTGTGATCTGGCACTGGATTCATGTCACTCATCTCCAGGGCCAAGTAGAGAACCCTGGGGCCTGCACATCTCCTTAAGGGCAGAGGAGAGCCCCTCTCCTTGGAGCATCCCCTCTCCTGCAGCGCAGGGCTCATCGCCTCCAACCTGTAGGTGCATTGCAGCAAGCAGCCTGCAAGGCCACAAGAGCAGCAGTCATTAGCAAAAGGAATTCACCCTGTCTTCTCCCTCCTTACATGGAAGCAATTAATTCACTCTCCCAGGAGAAAAGCTCTTCCCCTTCTCTCCTTTCTGCTCCTCTTGCCTCACAGCTGAGGGTAGATTCCTGCAGCCTGCTCAGTAATGGGATAACAAGAGCTCCTTGGAGGTAGGCTTGAGGTATTCTCTTGGCCACCTTTAGCAGTCAGGGCATGTCCAGAATGGTTAGTTCCTGCAGAAAACAGCCCTGCTGTCATTTTTAGGAGGCTTGGCAAGAATTTCATGGCCCTTCTGACTGCCTCTCTCTTGCATCTCTTGGCAAGGCAATGATGCTCCCTGAGTTCCCGAGCTAGTGCCAGGTGAGCTGCTGCAATTTCCAGTGATCAGTGTGGGTTTTACAGCTCTCTTGCTCCTCTTGTTGCTGGGCAGGGGCAGAACCCACCACCTCTGAATTCACTGTCATCATGCATGGCCCGAAGCTGAGGACCATTGAAGGCATCGTGATGGCTGCTGACAGCGCACGCTCCTTCTCGCCCCTGGAAAAGTTTGGGCAGAATTTCTTGGAGAAGCTGATAGGGATAGAGGTGCCTCACAAACTCCTGGAGCGAGTCACCTTCGTGGACACACCAGGCATCATTGAGAACCGCAAGCAGCAAGAACGAGGTAGGGATTTGCTCTGTTCATCTAAGGGACTCCAGAAAAGAAGCTGTAACAATGTAAGATAACAGGGATGGCTGAAGGGCAGCGAGGAAGAGCTCTAGGCTACGAAAGGGTGTATCCTTACATTGGAGGGGATGTTACATTTGTCTGTGCATGGCTATGACAGTAGCAGCCAGGGCCTGGGGGAAATATCTGATTATCATCAGCTAGAGCCGCCTCTTTCTGTCTGGAGATCTGACAGACAGGAGTTTTTGCAAGATGTTTCTGGGTGATCCTCAGGCTGTTGCTTATCTGCCTCAGCCCATCATTTAGTATCCTATCTGTAGCTCTTGGAGACAGGATTTGCCAATGGCTTGTGCTATAGCAGGACGCAGAGAAGCACCATCGCAACGCATGGGATGCTAGGGTGACTGACCCGTTTACTGCCCACTGGGGAAAGTAATGACACGCTGCATATCTGCTCATACCAGAAACAGGAATCTGTGGTCAGCAGTAGGGAGAAAGGGGAATTTGGAAGTGTCAATGAGAGACCTGCTCCAGGCGAGAAGAGCACCTCTTGAAAATGTCCTCCCTTCCTATTGCTAGAGAAAAACATCTTCTGGGAGTGAGGTGGGAATGAGGTGCCTGTCAGTGGAAGCTTTAAATTCTCTCCTAAAATCCTGTCATTTCTCAAGTATAGCAGTGCATTTATTCCTTCAAGCAATGGAGCTCTCATCACCTTACAAAATCCGTTGTTGATGAAGGGGGAAACTTTGGTTCCTTTGGCCAAAAGGCCAAAAGTTACACTGACTTTGCTGGGAGTAGAGCACCGACGAACGTCCCAAGATCAGCTTGCAGTCCCAGCACACTAGCCACAAAGGGATAACTCTTCACGGCAAGAATTTTTGAAGTGTTTTTAGCACTTGAGCAACAGATTCTGTGCTGTATAGGAAGTCCAGATAGGTCTGGGTCAGACAGGGTGTGAGACACTGCAGGCTTAAAGTCTATTTATTCTTTGTTCTGAAGAGATTCATTCGGTGCTGGCCATTTCTGCTGGATTTCTCTCTCTCCTCTTACCAAGGTTACCCGTTCAATGATGTATGCCAGTGGTTCATCGACAGAGCTGACCTTATCTTCGTCGTCTTTGACCCTACGAAGCTGGATGTGGGCTTGGAGCTGGAGATGCTGTTTCGCCAGCTGAAGGGCCGCGAGTCTCAGATCAGAATCATTTTGAACAAAGCTGACAGCCTGGCCACCCAGGAGCTCATGAGAGTCTATGGTGCCTTGTTTTGGAGCTTGGCTCCTCTGATCAATGTCACGGAGCCACCCAGAGTGTACGTTAGTTCCTTCTGGCCCCATGAGTATCAGCCAGAAACCCACCAAGATCTGTTCCTTAAAGAAGAGATATCCCTCCTGGAAGATCTCAACCAGGTGATTGAGAACAGGATGGAGAATAAGATTGCCTTCATACGCCAACATGCCATCCGGGTGCGCATCCACGCCCTTTTGGTTGATCGCTATCTACAAACCTACAAGGACAAAATGACCTTCTTTAGTGATGGAGAACTGGTGTTCAGAGACATTGTGGAAGATCCTGACAAGTTCTTTATCTTTAAGACCATTCTGGCAAAGACCAATGTCAGCAAATTTGACCTCCCCAACCGTGAGGCTTACAAGGACTTCTTTGGCATCAATCCCATCACTAGTTTTAAGCTGCTGTCTCAGCAGTGTTCCTACATGGGAGGGTGTTTCCTAGAGAAGATTGAAAAGGCCATCACCCGTGAGCTTCCTGACCTGTTGGGAAGCCTCGGCTTGGGGAAGAAGCCCAGCATTCTCTCCTGCGACGTTACTGGCTGTGGCGAAACCCCAAAGAATCGCTACAGGAAACCGTAACGTGGTCTGTAATATAACCATCCATGTGTTCCTACTGGTGAATGAGCTTATGTCTTATCTGTCCGAGAAGCCATGGTTTATTAACCCTTTGAGAGCCACACTGGCAAAGGCTACTGTACAATGAGGACTTTGAGTCATTGACATCAATGGCAGGGGAAGTTGGGTGGGCATAAGAAAGAGAATAAAAACTGTGAATTCCTGACATTTATCTTTGTTCTTTCAAGTAGAAGGCAATGTTTAAGCTGTAAGTACAAGCAATGCATGGTGAGCTAGAACTGTAGCTGCTTTTTTACTAGTGCCAAGTTTCATATGTGTGAAGAAGAATTTCAGCCTCTGAAAGCACTAAGCCAGCAGGGAGCAAGAAAGAGGGCATGGCGTGAGGGCAGAGGAGAGTGGTGGCACAGGAACCCAGAACCACCAGAACCTGGGGGCAAAGCACTTGGCAGGGCAGGAGAGACCAGGCCCGAGTTGTTGTTTTCAGGCAAAAAAAAAAAAAATCCTACAAATCTCTGCAATATCATCTTGTTTTCTTTTCCAAGACTTTCAGGTTATCCCACAGCATTCTCCTTTCACATAACAGCTGGGCTTAGCTCTGCAGCCTTCACCTAGGTGTTACCCTTCTGTGTTACGAAGGATTCAGTCCCCCAGCTGGCCCTTTGCAGGAGCATTTGCAGCTCTGGAGAGAGAGCTGTGGTGGGATTTGCAAGTGCATGTTAGAACAAGAAGAGGCCTGGAAATGAGCTGTGAGCATTGGAGCATTGGCTGAGATTTGCTGGAGGAGCAGGGGAAGCACCCTAAGCCACAAAGTACTGGAAAGATCATGAGCAGGTCCCCTCTCTCTGGACTGGCCCAGAGATGGGGTGTTTGGTGTCCACATGTGCCATTAAGCTCAAAAATCCCATGCTGGCAATCAAGCCTGAGTATCAGTAGGGCTCAGAGGGTTAATTGTTTGGCAGTTTGACTTTAAGTCAGTCTTGCATGCTTTCTCCAAGTTAGATCCCTGTGTTTTGGGTTTTTGTTTTTTTGCTGTTTGAAGGGAGAAGGGAATACCATTTTACTAGCTGCATCCTTTCTCCTCTCTGCTAATCCATTTTCCTTAGGATATTACAGGAGGATTTCTGCAGATTGTTCTCTATACATCACCCATTTTTAGCTGTGAAGCTGTTGGCTCATCTCTGCACATCGGTGCTTCGTCCTGTGAGTTGCAGGCAAATGACTGCTACTTCCAAAGCACCAGACTAGGTCCAAGTCTCCCCTGACCTGAATCAAGCACAAAGTGACCAAGCAGGTCGATATTGCCCTGGATGGAGACATGTACCTTAGAGCATGCCGATGACCTGCTGAACAGTGTTTCTCCTTCCTCCTGCTAAGCATGTCACAGCTAACTGCTCTCCAGAGACCTCTGGAGCTGAGGAACTTACTTGGACAGGAATGAGAAGACAGGGAGGTGCCAGGTGAGGCAAGAAAATGGCAAAGGAAACGAAAGAGTGAAAGAGAAAGCTGGCAATGGAGGGCTCTGCGTGATGGAAAGGGTTGAAGGGCAGCACCTCTGTCCCCCATGTGCCTGACATGATGCAGGTTAAGGCCAAAGGTTGATGCCACACTGACTGCGGGGTCCTCGTGTCCCCAGTACTGAGGCTGGGTGCTGCAAAGAGATTCCCCTGAAGCAGCCTGGGTGAATCTGGGGGGATGCTGCCCCAGGGACTTGCAGTGCTCTTTGCCTCTACTTTGAGGCAGGACTATGTGTATAGACTAGCAAAGAGAAGACACAAATCTATGTTCAAGTACTGGGAAGGGCAGGTTTTGTGCAGAGGGATGTTGCTCGCAGTGCAGAGAGGCCTGCAGGTAACCACTGAAGATAGGAAGAGGTATCAGAGAAAGCAGCAGCCAGGATAGCGTACAGAGAAGTGATGCGCTCAGGAGTCAGTGCAGAGAGGTCTCAAACTTGCCCCAGAGCTGCTGCCTCCTTTCACTTTTATTCTTTTCTGTTTCTTTTACATTATCCCTGTAATGTAAAAGTGTGTCTCACCCACTCTTTCTTGCCTGTCATTGTCCTTTGTCCAGCTAGTTTGCATGGTTTTCTTAAGAGATGATGGAATAGAAACCCTGACAGAAATGTGCTAATATTGTCACAGTTCCTGCCGTCACACTGTGTGGCCTTGTCACAGTAAGCAAAGCCCATCAAACTTTTCTACTTCTAAGTGCCTTATTTTTGCTTCTATTTTTGTTGTTGTTGTCTTTTTCCACCAAAGCTGTTGGGCTCCAGCTAGGGGCATCCAGTAAAAGGCCCCCATACATCCTATAAAGGAGCTCTAACTCTCCGTTTGGGCCTTGAAGTTGAAGGCATCATTGCCCTGCTCTCAGATTGCTCCCATTTATCTCCCAGTGACTTTCTTTTCTCCTTTTCCTTTGTTTTATCTTCTCTTCAGCACCCTTTGTCTTCTCCCATTTATGCCCTGCTCCATTTTCAATTCCCTTCCTCTTAGGAGCACCCTGTGCAACAGTCAAAAGCAAAGCGCTAATGCAAGAGTCCGCGATGGGACTGTTATGTGACAGTCAAAACCTTTTTCCCACCTAATTGTATGTTAGGATTCTCTTTCCAACACGATGCCGCCCTGCTCGAACCCTCTCTCGCCTGATCACCTCTCTGCAAAAGCGGTGGCAACGGTGATCAGAGCAGGGGGACAGGCTGGCTGCTATTTTTCGCTACCTGTGCAGCATGCTGACTCCAGTCGGTTGTGGCCAGCTCTCCTGGTTGTTCAGGAAGATGTTGACACTTGGATGCTTTCTTTCCCAAACATCTTCACATACAGCCGGGGCAGCCGTATCAAGTGCCTGTTAGTCCAAAAGGGACAGTAGGTCCTTACCCACCCCGTGTGGCACAGCCTCAGACCAACCCAGCACTCTCTGAGCTTTAATAGGGGAGCTCTGGGATGCGAGTGAGAAAGAGATGAGCTTCAGGAAATGCACCGGGGTGGGCAGGAATGGGGAGTATTTTTATTTTGCTAAGAAATCCCAACCTGACGCCAGGGCTGTAAGCTTCTTGTGTAAGAGCATTCCAGACAGACACCTTCCAAGGAATGACATAGTCGTGACATACGCCCAAGTAGAAGCCCATGTTAATGTGCATTTGGATAAAACTGTCAGCTTGAACATCAACCTGTCTAATAAAACCTGGTATTTTCCAAACACACTCCTTGGAGATGTTTGTTTTGATTCTCTCGCCAGAGTGGTGCAACCGCCCAGACTGGCTCTGGGCAGGGCAGGGTGGGTGCTCGGGGACGGGGCGGTGAGCGCGGCCGAGGCCGCCGCACACAGCTCTGCCTCCCCGCGCGAAGGAGAGCACTGGGGCTGCGGGCAGCCTGCGTGGGGGCAAGGCCGGGGCCCCAGCGCCCCACGGAGCCGGGCAGGCAGCCTGTGGTTGGCAGCAGGAAGGTGCCTTTCCCAGTGACCCAGCTCAGGATGGGCCAACAAGGAGCGTGTTGCACCCCAGCAGAGCCAAGGCATTTGGGCCACGAGCTCCCTCAGACATTGAAGCCCCCTTCACTATCCCCTCTTCTGCTCCTCCAATTAGAGGAGCTCCATGCAGGGCCATCACTCTTATGGGTCCCTCAAGGAACCCAGTGTTGCCAGGAGGGTCAAATTCAGCCCACACTTCACTGCTGTGAGCTGTGCCTGTCCCACATGTCCAACCTATGTCGCACCCCGAGCTGTGCAGGATGGGTGCTAGCTGGGCAGCTTGCTGGGGGCAGCGGTGGTGCTGGGAGCCCTGATTATCTCCATGGCTGCTGCGGGCCTAACATCACCCGGAGGTCCCTGGCGATGGGGATGTGACCGGCTCAGCACATGGATGGCTCGTAGAAGGTGACGCAGAGGCTCTGCTGCAGGCATGAGCCCTGGCTGCACGTGGCTTGGCACGAGCTGGACCTGTTGTTCCCCATGCCCCAGCATGGAGGCCTGCCCCTCGGGAGCCGCCGTGGTGCCTGAGGGACCTCACTGCTCTTCCACATGTGGCACTAGCAGCAGGGGCGCATGGCGGCACAGCACAACCTGCTGCTTCACTTCGTCCTTCACCGAGCCGAGAAGGACAGCATGGCCCTTCCTGCAGGACAAGCTCTCATCGGCATGGAGAGAATCCCTTAGATCCCCCCTTCACGTCTGCGTGGAGCCAGCGATGGGCCCTCTCATCCTCCCCTCGCAGAGGTCCCGGAGGGTGCCGAGCACTGAGGCAGAGAAGCAAATCCCTCCCTCTACCTCTGCACCCTGTCCGATTCATCCGCGGGGGCTCCTGCAGGAAGCCCTGTGGACACCGCGCCGCGGGGCTGAGTCACCACGCAGGCTCCACAGCGCCAGCGAGCGCGACGCCCTGCGTGACTCAGCCCCGGCCGGGTGGGCGCCGCCGCGGCCCAGCTTCAGCAGTACCTGCTGGCGCGTCCACGCCTTCCCCCACGCTTTGAGCACCGCGTTAGCTTCAGCTATTCCCCGTTGGTCCGGCTCATTCCGGATGCTGCTGCCTGGGCGTTCACCCCGCAGGGACACCCTCTCCCCGCCCAGCCACCTTAGCTCCATCCACGCGCTGCCGTGGGCAGGGGGAAGGGGCGACGCTCCCTGTGCGGCCGAGGCAGGGGTGCGGGGCTGGCAGCGCGAGCAGAGACAGCTGCTGTCTGCTGCCTCTCCAGCTCTCTGTCTAGCAAGGCGGCTGATCAGGAAAAGGCCGCTCCAAGAAAGCTGGAAGGAAGAAGGAATGTCTCGCTCGGCCATAGCTGCCTTTGGAAAGTCTGGAAAAAACGTGGCATCTTGAGGCGCGTGAAGGTCTGACTAGTGAGAGTGCCTTTTCCTTCCAAGGCTACTTTATAGATGTGAATCATGAGAAATCAACGCTGCTGGTGGAAAGCAAGCTGATCCCCCCGAGACGTGGTGCTGGCAGCAGCTCTGGCCTATCTCTTGGACAGAAAAGAGCCGCGTTTATCTCAGGAACGTCGGGTGGAGCCCGTGCTGCTGGCTGTCACCCCGTGTGTTGCTGTGGGCCTCGGGAGGACTGGCTCCAGTGCGGAGGTGGGGAAAGGGCCAGGGGCCTTGGCCAGGAGCTGTCACATGTCCCTGGGGCAGGTTGCCGCAGGTTCCCAAAGCCCGGCAGTGGAACTGCCAACACTCAACCAGGAGGAAGCGAGTTTATGAGTCCCGCTGCTTTGCTCACTGTG